CCACTCACCTCTTTAAGACATCATATCCACCCACGACGTAACAGTCACCGTGAGGTCTTCTTATTTCTGCCTCTGGCACGTACTGTTAAATATCGTCGGTTCTTTTCTGTAAATGCAATTGCTATTTGGAATAAACTACCCATGAGTGTGAAAACTCTGCAAAATTTTCCTTTATTTAAGATAACTATTACTCGATTTTTGCATTCAGAAAATCTCCCACAAATTTTGGGTGCTGAATCTACTGATCGATTGTACCGTAGCGATGGCGTTTGTGGTCTCTGAACACTATGGCCGGTCTCACCAGCTGTTCCTCAACGCCTCTACTTTAACTATCCCCAACTTCATGATAGGAATTTGACGTCCGATAATCTCCGATACCGTGCAACCTCCCCCCTTCTTGACGGTCGATATTCTACCACCGCCGACAGTTTTTTTCCCCTGAGCCCTCCAAACCACAAAAACCACCATCAACTATATTTTTATGCCTTAAGCTCAGGAGTTTTTTTTCACTGCTGGTCGGATTTGTGTTTAATCGCTTCCCTTGACAATGCCTGTAAACTGGCATTAAATTAAAATTTATTTATTTATTTATTTACCGAATTAAACTGCATTATTCAGAAAGCTCAGGAGACCAAATAAATAAGGAGTTTTGTGTTTGGACATTGTTTGCACCCTTCTTAACAGAGTCTATAGTAGAATTACCGATTTTGCCGGTGTACTACTTCACCCGGGGACAAAATCATTTTAAAATTAAACAGAATCGGCATTTAATTAAAATACAATTAAATTATTTTTATTAAAGACCCGTCGGGGTCCCATCAAAATAATGGGCAAGAAAAATTGTGACTTGATTTTCGAAGGCGCAAAATATATAATAAGAGACGGTAGCTCACAGACGTCAGATAACATGTGACGGAGACTGTGGCCATAAAACGACGCGACTGCGGTGACTTCAAGGCACATAAGGTCTTCAAAAAGATCGGAAAAGTAACCAATTTAGTATTCTGCAGCTTTTACAGACCCGTTACCTCGCCTTCCTGGGATATTCAACACATGTGTTTTGACGCGGACTAATTACCACTTAGTGTCTGGTAGATTAGTTGTAATACGACATCTAAAAACTTAAAATAGACAGGAACTAAGTGAAGACATGGCTAGATTCGGTTCCTAAGACTTCATGTTTTTTTCATTCATGGTACAAATTATTCAGACTACAAGAAGAACAATTGTCTAATTTTAGCTCCCTTCCTCCGTTCTTAAGAAATATTACTTAGTCTACGTGAAATTGTCTATAAACATTTTTAACCCTTTTCTGTTTTCTCCACTGTCTTTACCAGCAGTTTCGCCAGTTGTTAATTACTTGTATATTTTCTTCAATGTCCCACTATCCGCCAAACCTTTTCGGGTGTCTTCTTTTCAGATATTAATTCATTATAGGATGGGGCTTCGGGTTCTTTTAAAATACCGTGGACTTTCTGCCCTATTTTCTTTGTGATAAAAATACTCCTCACGGTTTGAAATATTCTCGCTTGGGCGCGTGTGATGAAAATTAGCCAACGCCGGAAGACCCCAAAGGATCACGCGTTTATGGAAGGAGGTACTCCTGTCCGCGCCAATCCGTTTAATTCTTCTAATGATGTGGCCCAAACGACTGTTCTAACTTTTTATGTAGAGAATAATGGTATGTGTATTTGCCCAGTGGACTCATTTCTTTTGTAGACAAATCCCAGATTGAAGACAACACCTGTATTGCTGACCAGAATGCCTCATTTTTCGAAGACCTCTTTGTAAGTCTCCTTCGTATTTCGTGTCAGGTGTCATCCCTGATCACAGGACACATGTGCTTCTTAGTCGTCTGACTGGCAGGCGCACGGGCATATGACCATATGTTTGTGCTAGCATTTAGGCGCGCAGGGCTAGACATTTACTGGCTCGTTTGATTCGCGGGCCAATGCAGAGCAGTTTGCAGTGCTCAGTCGTGCAATGGAACCTCGATGCTAAGCCGAATGCATTTTACACGTCAAGATTGTGCGGTCCCTTTGCGCGTATACTAGCCCGCTACCGGGCGACCAGGCTAGCCCTCGGCGACTAGAATGCTATTAGGATGAGCTGCGAGGTAATTATACTAAGCGAAGTTCGTGGCTCCGTATACGGTACTATTACCTCAAACTGCCTTTAAGTCAATTTCTAGTTCATTGCCTTGCCTTTCGACAGATCTTAAAAGAGCCATCTTTGTAAAAAGTCCAAATTACTTCCTCGTGACAGTTATGTGACGCTAACATTTATCATTCGGATTGCAGCACTTATTTACAGTCTGCTGACTTCTGTCCAGAAATACTATTATTTCTTTATTACTATTACTGCTCTTACTCGCTGGGATTTACTACGAGTACTTTTTGTTCTTCGCACCTCAATGCATTTCTAGTTTTCTGTGTAACGTTTCCATCCAGTGCTTCTCTAGTAATCTGGCCAGTTAGCTCTGGAAGTGCCTGTCTCGTTAGTTGACGTTTGGTTTTTCTATCAAACCAATTCAGCCATTCGACAAACTCGTAAGTGTGGACTTAATTTCGACGTTTTGTCACAAAAGCAGTAGGAATGATTTACTGATCTCTAATCATTTTCTCCTCTATACATCACTCCCATCCCTAGAACCCAACTTACGTTCTTTGTCATGTTTTTGGTGTAAACTTTCAGCCCGACGTTTGTGCGCTCTCTTCAACCGAAAAACTGGAAGCAGCTGTCATGCATTGCAAGCACATATACTTAGCGTCTAGGGATCAACCTAAACAGCGTCAGCACTATCTTCTGGATCGCCTAATCGAGCTACGTCGTCTCCTTCACAATGCCAAGGTGAGTCCGTGTACGTGATTAAATACCACCAAATAAATGTAAAAGTTCATTTTGATACGAACTTCAAACACCTATACGCCGTTTACAAAACAAGCTGACTCTTTAACCCCTGACCTGTTGAGCACGCCTGCTTGCACAGAACGTACTCTGTAGCTTTGGTCAAAACGTACTAATATAAGTATCGTGCTTCTAAGTATTCGTGGCGTGCCCCCATCACACTATAACTTGTGCGTTTATGCGCCCACCTTTTTATCTGACTTATTGTGTGCCTAACGATCTGTCGACAAAAAGACCCCAAGAATTTTTATTCACCTCTGACTGGTGGATTTTGTCATTCATATAGTATCAGCACAGATAAATTTATTTTATAGCAAACAGAACAACTTTTTCTGGAACTTGCTGCATACGTGCCACTTATAAGATAGTATGCCTCCACGTGGTATTTTCCCGTTAGACGTTTTATGAAGACTCAGACACGCAAAATCCTCAAATGTTTTAAATATAGCTTGTTTTGCACCTTCGGCGTATTTTCCTAAATTCCAATTATCGAAATGATTCATGCGCAATGGGCTCTTCCTCTCAAAGGTCGATAAATAACCTTAGGCAATACGTAGTCGAGATAGTATTCCTAAATTGCAGCTCTTCGACGCGTTCTCTCTCCTTTTTTTATTTGGTGTTCTTTCCTCAGTACAATAAATAACAAATCATCCCCAATTACAGTTGTTTCTTTCGACACTTCAGGATACTGGTGATAAATTGAACGAGAGCCTGCGTACCGTAATCACCTATGTGTTTAAAATCCCACAGGCCGACGGTTGTATAGAGCTATTTGGTACTGGGGTGGCTTCCTTTAGTTCTAGGATTCCAGTGTGGGCGTTTCCATCAGACCCTTTAAGGCTCGAGATCTGTGACAGTTAACTGGCAAGCCTTAACGGCAACACTCGTTATGAAGAATAAATAGCAACCAATGTAAGGGCGGCTGGGAAGTACTTTCTGACTTGGGGTTTCGTTGGTTGACAATAGGCGATCACCTTGTCTGCTCTGGTGCTAGTTCTACATCATTACTAGTCGTTGTGCAACTGCCTGTGATGACCTAGTTTAAGCTTCAGGTTGCAACGAGACCGCCAAATCCGGCACTGGAGCTGTACTAGTGATCGGTCATCTCATCAATTATCATTCGCTCACTGCCAAGTAGCTGTGAGAAGCTGTATTTGTGGGCAGTTCCTAGAGAACGAGTATGACAGTTCGACTGTCGTTACCTCGATGTCCCATAGCAGGATGGACGCAGGGACAGTGGCTTGCGCGTGAATTCGTTTATAATCATAATAGACTCGCGCTGCATCTTCAGGTCCTTATAATAGTCAAAAATCAATGAAGTGTCGAACATGGAAGGATCTTCGTAGTTGTTGTGGCAGGTCATCGCTTTAGAGTCGGTACTCTGGCAATTGATGACTGTGCTCTACCTCTTATGAGTGTTCTGTGCCCCTAAAAGAGGCTGTGCGGTAGATGTGCTGCACCCACACAGGAGCTAAATCGGTTTTTGGCAGGCGTTATCAGGAATGCGTACCATAACCACATTCGGGGTGTGATGGCAGGCCCAGTTGCCAGCACGCGTCACCCATTGTTATTATTGGTTAAAATCTTGGTAAAGTGTTGTGAGCCAGGGCGTGTAATGGTACATCCAGGTGCGGGTCCGGCCGTGCCAGCCACCTGCGCCCGTTCCGGCCTCCGATCTTCCTGGCAATGTCTCGACACAGGACCCAGGCGGCAAGGATGGGAGAGTGTGGTAGATACTGGGCAAGTCTACTACCACTATGAGGCAATTCATGCACAAGTCACCATGCATGCTCTCACCTCGCAGTAGAGCACACGCGGAACATCGTCGGCCACGACGGTCAAACTGTCATCAGTATCATATTCGTGGTTAAACCTTTTTTTTAGTTGAGGACGTATCTGCCTGTCTAAGTCGACGTTTGATGATTATCGGTACCTCTTCAACGTAGCTAGTTATTGTACATTTTATAAACCGAACGCTGTCACAAACGCTGGAGCAATATAATCTCTCGCAGGGTCAGCGGTTAGGACTCCACCGAGTTGCCGGCTAAAGATCGCAATTTTTTGAACACCCCTTTATACCCTCTGTCGTTGAAATTGGATGTTAAATCTCACTGGGTTGGCTGTTTCAGGTCATCGCGCGCAGACAGACTAGTCGGGATTCCCTCATGGTCGGTCAAATCGGGCAGACTCACAATTGAATAAAATACAAGCAATAAGTAAACAACAACAGGGATGCAGTTAAAGTCTTAAAACCGACGTGTCATGTGGCTTTGACCCTTTTCGGTGGGAATGACACATTGCTAATCAAGTGATCGTTCTGAGGGCGGTTCAGTGGGTGGATTCCATACTGTCCACGGATTTTATTTTCCCACATCGCGCACGTCTATTGTAATAGACGATCAAACTTTATGGAGGAGACTTTATGTCTAATGCACCGTTTGCCTTCAATATGGTCGATTTGTATATCACCGAGCAGTAACTCAAAATGAACCGCGATGCTGTTGTAGTAGGCCAAAATGACGACTGCATGTGCTCGACACATGCGTAACAAGCGTTTGACGAGCACTCAGCCCACAATATTTGCCGCGTCTGTGCGGGCGACTGGTGCCTTGAAGAGAGAGAGATAAGTTCAGCGCAGTGCAGCTCATTCCGCATTCGAGTTAATCCGACGTGCCTGAACTTATCGCGACACGCTAAAATTGGCGATTTGGTCGATTACTAAGTGGCCTAACCCCTTGTTTCTCATAGAATGATGAAGAGAACTATATGCCACACACGTGTTAGGCTGGAGCTCGCAAGTCTTAACGATAGCTCCCTTTGACGAGAGATCTGAGACCTCGTTGAGGTCTGATTCATGTGTAGCCATGCAACTAGGACTTTATTGTAGCCTTACCAGCTTCCCCTCGTCTACAGTCATAGTAACTGTCATTAAAACGTGGTAGGCCTAGAAAGATCAAGGGGCTTAGCTAGATATACGCATGCCGGCCTCGACACAAATCAACCCACATGCGTGTTTAACACTGAACCTCTCTCAGGACGACGCTTCTCATAGCTTACGATGATCCTAACTCCTGTCCTGCGCTGACAGGCACAACCTACGGCCGAGTTTCTTTCAGGAGTAGTAACGGGCAGACACCATGGCTGATTTACACTGAGCTAAGGATACATTTTCGGAGGCCACTCGGACGTATGCCATTTCTGAGCGAAACCGTGCGCCCGTGAGTGCCATTGCTGGCATCGTCGATTTATAAACTCACTTACATTTGGATTGCTGTCCTCTGAGTCTAGACGGACGGACTGCCCATCCAGTCAAGGCCTGCTGTGTAAGTTTGACTGCCAACGAGACGCCAATGGCTGCGGTACCACCGGAGTCTGCAGAATATCTGAAACTCAACTCATGACATTTTTCATGCACATATGTGACCCTGCCACCCACTTAATCCATTTTGGAAGGTGTTTCATTTCTTCTGAAACGTCCTGTCTGCACATGGTGACTACTCAAACGCATAGTTTTAAAAAAGATTGATTATTCTTTAGCCTGGATTTTTTCGTCGCACTGAATTCAAATGCGTTCTCAACCGTTAAATGCTGTAGTCATCCGTGGGCACTTAAACACCGACTTTGGAAAAAAGAGTTAGTTGCCTTTTAGGAACGGGAGCGCTACGGAACTCCTCAGCTCTCCAACACCATCCTGCCCACGCGCTCGTCGGCGACTGATCTGCGCGCGACGGAGAACACGTCCCATTTTTCCGACTGTTTGCGTCTTCTGGGCCACAAGTTCCAGCCAGTCCTCGCCTTCCGTTTCCTCGGCGCTGTCTGTGAGTCCTGCTGCCGTATGGTGAAAGGTCCCGCCGGCCGAATATTGGTATGTCGCGTCTGCGCTATCGCCTGTCATGATTCAACCAGTTGTACTCGTAGCCTTATTCGGCAGTGCCCCGCAGCCGCGGTTCTTCATTTTGCACTGGCCGGTGATGGACAACTGCCGCCCACAGGACCGACACCGAAGACGACGGCAAGCCGCCCCCGGATACCCAGTCGTCGCATGAAGTCGCACTCAGTAAGTGGCCTGGTTGCCGATAGTAGCAGCCGTAATCCGGGCGTGTCGACTGATGCCGCTGTCAACCAGACGATGACACATCAACTCCTGCTGGATCGTCTCACATACGTGGAGGCCAGTCTTTCGGCACAGTCCTGGCGTTGTTGGGAATGCGGTGCGCGCTTAGCTGCCAACGTAGACATGGACCTGGGCAGGCTGCCCTCCTCAAGTGGACGCCATTCCCGTCCTCCGCCTGCTTTGTTGGATGCAATTCGTCGACTGGAAGCTCCTCACACTTTGAAGGCCTCTGAGTATGGTCGACAAAAGAAGCTGTTAGGAGTGGGTGAGGTCGCCGGACTCTTCTCTCCCGCCCTGGGACCGCTCTTGTCCGATGCTGACGTTGCGGTTGCCCGGGAAGCCGGAAAGCTGCCTGACCTAGGTAGTTGTGGCGGTACTGATGGCGACTGTGATGATCTTCTCGAAAGGCGACCATGTCCTGCCCAGCTGTGCTACTACTTCGGGCGGTACTATTGTACTAACTGTCATTGGGGCGACTTCTGGAAGATTCCTGCCAATATCTTCATCCTTGGTCTCTGTACCGCCTATCCAGTGAGTCGACTCTTGACGTTGAACTGTCTTCACCTCATATTCCCCAAGTTAAGCATCCGTACTTTCCGATTAAGGTTTCGCGGTCAGCCTTCCTCTCGCTTAATTTCATGTGGACACGTCAGCAGTTTCGAGCTCCCCCTGCATGGCAGCGTTGGAATCCGAAAGCATTACTTACCTGCAGTTTGCGGCTTCGAGCCTTTCGGCTAAACGCCTTCTTTCGCATCTGCAAAGAAGCTCTCGAAATCAGGCAAAAATTTGAGGTATTTTAAACGCCTACTAAAAACGGTCAAAGTACGGCCAAATACGTATTTTTTAAATTCATTTTTTTGTGATGATATGCCAAGCTGGCTCATTACTATGCCCGAATTGCGAACACTTTTCCTTGTTCACGTCTCGATGAGTTTACATAACGTAGCCGATTTTTCAGCTTGCTTTGACGGAAGACTATTTGCCCAACTGGTTTCATTTTTGCGCGGTACAATGGACAGTGACCTCGACAGCCTCGTTCCACTTTCTATTCGATGCAGACCTTCCTGGAGCGTAATGTGTGCTTAGCATTCACCTGTTCTTAGGCTAACATTCATTCACACTTTAGTCTCAATAATTCTAAAACTTTGTGTATTACTAGTGCTGTAGTCCGTTTAGATTTCTGCTGCTGTTAAATTGTCCTTTAGTTAATAGTTTTTTTGAAGGGCCTGTTTCAAAGATCTGTTTGAGCACCCCACCAAAACAATATTCGGACCTTTAAAGCTGCCGCACAATGGGGTACATAAGAATACCAGTGTGTCCAGAAATCTGCTTGACTTCATTTCTTGTTGTCCAATCGCACCGATATCCTATCTTTTTTGAATACACATCTTGGCTGTCAGAAGCCTTCCGAGTCAGTATTCCGGAACCATGGGCCTCGCCGGAAGTTTATAGTTTTATTCCTTTATTGTCGCGTCCTTAATAGGTACATTTCATCGGGAGACTGCAATCAAAGTTTTCGGGCTGAGGATTGGTGAATTCGACGAAGGAGAAGGGGCCTTGCATTGGCTTTCGCCGAGGGTGACACGGTGGAGGTTGCCAACTCTTAGGAAGAGGTGCCACTGTTGTATCGTTATGGTTATGTTGCCAGAGCGGCCACCAAGGTGCATTTGGATCCAATGTGATCATTTTTATTATGCAACCCAGAGCGTCAAGTCTCGGGAATGTTATAGGGCTGTTTGTTAACCGTCAACGTCGATGGACTCAGGGCCAAGGCGATGGTCAAACGATTGGGTGTGGTATCAGCCAGCCGTCATCCATCATACTAGGAGTCCCAAGACGTTTAGCGGTAGTGTCGACATAAACACGATTGCAACAACTGTTTAGAATATGGAATAGAATTTTACTTTGTTGCTCTTCGGGGATGGGGTCCTTGTCTCATGAATGGACTGTCTCGAACGAACAGGCTAGTTCATTTGCAATGCGAATGCCAGCGTTTTTCAGTCGTCATGTAAGGTCATCAGCGGTTCCCTTCATCAGGATGTATTTGGAGCGTATCTGGGTCGATCATTCCTCTCAGTATTTCTGATGAACTTACCGTTTTTATAGTTTCCTTTGGTTCGTGTTGGACTTCGACCAGTTAGTGCTATTTCTTTGAAGCAGAGCCTGTTTCTCCTTTCAGCTGCGTATTGTTATCGCACGCGCGATAACCACGTGACTCCTATGGCAGTGGACGTACCCCCTACCTTGGTTTCACAACCTGTCTCATAATCTGTTGTCTTATGAGATAATAATTGTCGCTCAGTTATTCTGGTTGCCGCGCACTTCGCTGCACAAGTAATTTGCGTTTTCAATGCAACCCTTAAAGTTCTGGCGAGAAATATTTTACTCGACGCTCGCATCAATCCATCTTTAATGTACTAAGGGCTTTCCCCTGGTTCACTTTGTTCCCAGTCTTTTTAGGTGCGAAGCCCTTGAGGACCTTTACGGCAGATGCAGTGTGGTTGGATCAACCAACCTCGTTTCTCTGATCCCGATTGATTGTTTCTGAACCCAAGATCAAAGCCTCCCAAGTGCAGGCCTTTTTGCCCAAGGCCCGTCACGAGCACCGGCAATTGTCACGCTTAAAATTTTCACGCCATTATAGTCGAACGGCCTGCCGCTTGAGCTGAGACAACTAATCGCAGTGACTTGACTAATTCTGGTGTGATAATGAGCTTTGCGCTTCTTGGAAGGAAGCAGTTGGTCCACCTATGGAAGGCTTCGAACCACATGATTCGGTTATCTGTCGTACACCTCCCCCCATTCCTATTTTAATTAATGAAGAGAAGGACATCGATCTTTTCACGCAGTGAAACCACTTTGGTTCCGTCTGTGGGGAGCTTCTTTTTCCGCCCTCGTGGATCCTCTGTTTCTCATCTTCAGTCTTAATTGCCGCCCCTGCTAACTGTCTGACCTGAGTTGTGCGGTTACCCGTCTTTTACGCCTACAGACTTCGCTCTGGAATTTCAGCTGTCTGGATTAAGTCGGCTTCCTTTTGTCAGACGGAGAGATAAGAAATGTGGGTTATATTGCGCAACTGTCAGGCGTAGGCGTGACAGTTAAGAGCGAGAGCGCTCAAGGCAAATTAGGGGGCCGACGGGTGTCTGCTTCATCTATCATTAATTTTTTGTCTGTTTTTGACTGTTTGTGAGTCCCCCATGTTTCAGGATGTTTTACTTGTTCAGCCCATATGAACCGGTTCTACTTTCCTCCTCCGACTGCTCAATGGTTCTCTCTGCGTCTTTCATCGTGTGGAAGTAGCGTTTACTGATCTGTTCTGATTGCAGGACTAGCTACGTGTAACAGGTAATCCAGAAGGCGAAGTGAAATTTTCAGTAGTCCACCAACCCTCAACCAGCTGGTCACACCAGTCTTCTCCTTTATATGTCATACATGCCGCGTCACTGCGTTATTGTTGACGAGGATTCGGGATCGCCTTTGTCTCATCTCATGATGATATCAGACTGATAAACGCTGCTCTCATGTGTTTGACCATTCCCCATCTCTGTCGGACGGATGCGACTCGTGATTCTCAAGTGGCGGAAATTATGCCTCTTATTGCTTGCTGTCTCGCTGTGGTTGGGTCCAGACCTCGAGTACGCAAACACCCCGGTTTGGGTGCCATTAGCTGACAACAGCTAGTATGCCAGAAATGGCCATCTTAGTCCCGCCTTATTGGTAACACATGTGAAGGTTCAGAATTAACAAACAAGAACCATTACCGTTCCCCTTCTCAAGCGCGTACTAAGTGCACAAGCTGCGGAAAGACCGTCTGCAGCTTGTGTTTGGAATTCTACTTGGCAAGTATCTAATGAAGACCCCCAAGTATCACCAAGTATCCACATCCGCCTGTCCTACGGGAATGGTGGTAATAGGGGTTTTACGGGTGGAGCATCTGGATGATATGTTAAATGCGAAAATAAGGAGTTAAGTATTTCAAAGTGTGACTCAAAACTTACAATACCCTTATATATATAGCAATGCCACAATGACAATCACCACTATCCGTTCATTCTCGTTGGCTGTATTTACCTTGGTTACCTGTCCCAATGTAAACTATTGATTAGCGGTTAACTCAATTTGGTCTACACTTCGAATGTTTCTTATTGTTTACTTTTTTTAATTTGCCGCCATTACCACCATTCCCGTAGGACAGGCGGCTGTGGCCAGTTGGTGATACTTGGGGGCCGTCGCTAGATCCTTGCCCTCTACTTTGCCACTCACAAGAAGGGATGTTCACCGATCAGATGGTCAGGAAATGCTCGTCCCGTTACATATTGGTCGCGCAACGACCACTTACGGTGCAGGAATGGGGTCCCAGCAAAGACAAGCGAAAATGTAGTGGACATTTAGGTCATTTTAGGCGTTGTCGACCGGCCATACCCATCATTATCCGAACTCCTTTGTCATTTAGCGTTGAGTTCTGCGCTCTGCTATTTATCCACGGGTCCGTTGTTTAACAGCAAGCATCTAATAGCTAAAGTTGTATGACTAGTTGCACAGGCGACATTTCTCCCGCTTTAGTGACCCATTTTGTCTTCCCGCCTCACGTCCTTGATCGAGTTTAATGTGTTGTCGTTTTGTTTCCTCCATGGTAGAAGTATTTACGGTAGTCATATGCCCACGAATTCGCCATTCCTAGCTTGTTTGTAGGTGCCCACCCTCCGTTTGTATGCAGCCTCTACAAGTCATCATATGAGTTTCTTCTCTCCCTCCCTCTGCAGTGTCATCATCCGACTTGGATTTTGGAGCAGCCCTACACTTATACCATGTGGACAGTTGAGCGGGTTTTGGACGGTTCTCTGCCCTCGGCTCTAGAAGCTCTGCTGCATGAGACAGGCCAACACGTCGAGACTTGCGAGGCAAGTTTTGCTCTCCCCCCCCTCTACCTCCGACAAGAGTGTCGGTCTGTGCTCATGCCACCAAGCTGAACTTCCCGACCACCCTCTGCCCCGCCCGTCGAGAGCAGTTGCGACAGTCAAGGCTACTAGATCCGTACTGGCGCACTTCGTTACCTTGCTTTGTTCCTCTTTCTCTCTCTCTGCGCTAGTCTGTGTCTCTGTTTATAGGGGTATGCCAACCACTTGTCAAGCGGCTAGAACCACACCCTGTCAAATGTGCTATTTGTAATGTCCCAACAAGTTGGCACTCGGCGCTCCGTTTGAAAATTAAACTTCCAGGACAGAACGCAAACGGTGATCCCTCCTGCTAGGACGGTAAACGCCTTCGCAGCATTCATGCTTAGGAGCCTTTTTCCCCTTAGACCCTGTCGTTGACAGAACCGTTGGACGTGATGAGCAATTAAGGTTGAGTAAATCGGCCCGCTTGTCGGGAATTTTAGTGGTCTCCGAAAAGAATTCTCATCGGGTGCTTGTTGGAGTCCAGTGTCCCTGCGACATTCTGCGGGACGCTGCTACGGCCCTCCTCGAGCTAGTGATAGATGTTTACTCTTGGTAGGTTCTGGAAGGATGCGGTCTGTCAACGATATGCTCCAGACCCCTCATGCACCTTAGCTTTCCGCCCGTCTTCTATGTCTCTTTAATCCCCCCCCTCCTCTTCCCGCTTGCTACTTCTTGTATTCCTACTTGTACTTAATATGGCTGCAACCACACCAGATCTAGACCGTCTTGATGATTTTCCTAACTGTGCTGTTCCGCGCTTGACGATCCGCGGCAGCATATCTGGACAGTTCAACCCATTCTCGTCACCACCGCGGAGACCGAATGCGGAAGGTCCAAGAACCACCTCCGTGTCTTGATGAACTGTGTCAAGCCAGGTTGACCCTCCCTCGAAGCCTCCAATGAAATAACGGTGCCGGATCGGGGGAAGTAACACCGAGCCCCTGAAGTGGACAACGAAGAATGTGCCCAAACAACCTTAGTTGTCTTTCTTGGATGGCTTGGATTACCCTTGTGGTTTTCTCGCAGCGAGTGCGGACTGTCTCATTTGAGACGAAGTCGTTGTGCTTCACTCTAAGGATTGTTCTCGAGCAGTGATGGTCAGATACCTCCAGTTTTCATTCGTCCACGCGTACAGCCCCGCATTCAGGGCTATAGAGAAGGACAGGCCGGACGGATGCACGGTACACGCGAATCTTATCGGCGATGGAGATGTCGCGTCGGATTCATAGGCATTTTTCGTGGCTTGAGAATCTTCGTCTTTTTACCCCCTTCGCGTGCCACTGAGACCCGTTTTCCCTCTATCTTCAGTAGGTGGGCTAACTCGTGAAATGTCAACCGAAATGCCGAAATGCGCTTTCGTTTCGAAAGGATTAATTAAGTAGGGTTGTAAAACTAATTAACATGCATCATAATTCTATAATATTTCATTGACAGCAGAATGCCGGCTTTCGAACGAACTTCTTTTCGGCTGCATGCGAAAACGATACTCTGCAAAAAATGACTACTTAAGTAGCACATATTTTCCTAATTGACTTTCGATGACCTTGAAAAGTCAATTATATTTCCTGGAAAACATACATAAAAATATTCATTCTTTTGCCCAGTCGGTAGAAACTTGCGTTTTTTCCGATTTTATATTCGAAGAAGGGACATAATTCGGTTTTCAAAAAGTTTCTAATTGAGGGACTTTAAAATACCTTGAAATGACCATTTATACATCGTCATGTCTCTGCATTTATCAATGTGGCTTGTAAAGTTAGTAATATGGCTCAAGCTCACTGCTAAATTTTATGAACTCCATATGGTCTCCTCTCAACACCGTAGAGAAATGAATGGTTTTCCGTACGCGGAAAATATACGGCTTGTAGTTCGGAAACCCTGAGTGGAAGTGTAACGGCATTTCGGGTTCAACATTATTTGGGAATTAGGAAAGTTTATTTTAAAACCAAATTGTACCCTTTCTGCGAGTATAAAATGCGAAGAAAAGATAATTTTCTACCTAATGAGCAAAAGAATGACTATTTTATGCGTGTTTTTTTTATAAAATGGGATTGAATTTTTAAGGGAATGGAAAATCAGTGAGAAAAATGCATGCTACTTAGGCAGTCATTTTTTACGGCGTATAGTTATTACATGTTGCCGCAAAGAAGTTCGAAAGCCGGCATCCTGAGGTAACTGAAATATTATAGAATCGTGCTGCACGTTGATTAATTTTACAACCATCCTTTCGAAACGAAAGCGCATTTCGGTTGACGTTTCTTGAGTAAGCCTACCTACTGTATTTACTCATCTGTCGGTTCCTTTCAATATTTCGCTTCTGTCTCCTCATCCGACTCTTCCTTTCCCTGTAGTGGGCCAGCCCGAAAATTTTATATTTGCCTGATGGAAGTCACCATGCCCTTTCCGTAGGCCTCGTAATGTTGGTGCGCTTTGTCCCACCTACCAGATCACCGACATGTGGATATCTACCAGCTGGTGGTACACGCGTAGCCGCGATTAGCCCCTCACAATGAATCAGTCCCACTGTGCGTCCCCCCCTCCGCCCTGCCAAAACGAAGTCGAGTTGGATTGAGATATGATCAGGTGTTATGACTTCATCCGACGCCGTTGTCGCGTCAGTGTTTGCCTTCTGTTTAGATCTGCCTTAGCATCGGTCCCCTGAGTTGCCGTCCATGACGCCCCTCCCCCCCCCACACTCGCCATCTCGCAAAAAATTAGCCAGACATTAACAGTTGGCGTATGTGCTGTCTCGCTCCGAGGCAAGTAACAGATAGCACAGCATATGAAGTTGTGCCACAAAGTGGTAATATTATCTGCACTGGTCGCACTAGATAACGATGCCGTCTGGGTCAGTACAATTTGCCATCCGACAAGACCTCAATTGCAAGCCCAGTGCATCTTTTCACCGTATACTCCGACTTGTCCTGTAACTCCTGTTCATACATAAGATGGACAATTCATTCTGATTTGCAAAACCTTCCCGCACGCTATTAATCCTCCCACCATCCCTCTGGAGGAGAAATTCGGATTGAACTTGTCCTGAAAGGTGCTGCCATTTTCCAGGAGACGGTCACACTTCTTGATGAATTTCTCCCAATGACAGGCGGTGTTTCACACACTTGTTGTTGTCTGTTGGAAGTTAGTCCTGCAGAGTTTCAACTTCCATTGTAGTCTTTGGAATCTCCTGTTTGCACGGCTCCGAGGTTACATTCCGCAATTTTGAAGATGCAGCAAGTATGGCGTGAGGTTGGATATCTCCCCTGAAAGGTCTTCTGTTCGGCTAAGGGCCGTGTTCACTACCATAGCACTTATGACTGCCGATATGCCATGTCTCGGTCCCTGTAGTGACGGTTTTGCTGCGGATAACCAACACGCTTACAGTTGTAGCTAGGGTTTTGATTATATGAGTTCTGACTCCTACAAAGTTGGCATCTGAAGGCCTCGTCAGTACGGGAGGCCGGACGCGTGTCGATGGTACAGCTAGTCATTACTGATCTCATTGTACCATACTCCTCAGCGCCAAATTGAGGATGAGCTGTCCTCGTGACAACTCTCCGCAACCACCAGAAAGCCGGAACAATCAACCAAAACCAGATTAAAGAACTCAGCCACTCCCACCTTAGTTCTCTTTTGCGGATATTGAAGAACAAGAGACACGATCGCTGGGACAAGAGCCTAATTTGCCTGGCGTTTCGGATTCCTGTTCGAACCCATCATCAGAGACAAAAGCAGATACTGGTGCTTCATGCATAAGGGACTGCAGTATTTGCAGGATGCAGTCGCCATGCTACCGCATTCCTATGAATATTCACGACTCCCCCTTCATCAGGGATCGTCGCACTTGGTGTGATGATTGCTTGCTGGCCGGCATTCGCGTCTTTGATTGCTGCAATTTCATCACGTGCGTTGGATGTTGGTGCGATGATTACTCGACCATCTGACGCACTGACCCTGGTGTTGTGAAAAGTGTTCACCTGTTCGCTCTCGGCGTGGCCAATTACTCCGCCTAGGCGAAGTCTCAGCACCGATTATGGAACGGGAAGATCATTGCACTTTTTAATAGACTGGGGGTCAGTAAACCATGACTCAAGTAGCTCCCGACTCACGCGGTTGTCACTTCTTGCGAGAATTTCGGCCTCGTCAAATTTTAATGTGTGGTCGGATCTCGTCGAATGAGCCGCAACTTGAGAGCTAGCGTCATTTCTCCGCACCGCTGCAGCGTGTTCGGCCATTCGCATTCGGAGCTGTCTTCCGGCTTCGCCGACGTAGTTGCTTTGTCCGCAACTGCACCAGATCCGATAAACGACTCCGGGCGTTTCTTGCCGTGGAAGCGGGTCTTCCGGTTTCGTTACCTGACGCCTGATTATTGCCTCCGTTCTGTGTGCAACTTCAACCCCAAGTGGTGCGAGGAGGCGGCCGACAGCTTCCGAAACGTTATTGACATGCGGAACGCTCGCCAAAATTTGGTGACCATGCAGTGAGGCCTTTCGTCCCCTTTGCGTATGCACCCTTATGCACGAAGCACCCGTATCTGCTTTTGTTTCTGATGATGGGTTCGAGCAGGAATCCGAAATGTTAGGCTTATAAAGCTATTGTCCCAGTGATCGTGTCTCCTTCTTCAAGACTGCTTCCTGGGACTCGTCTTTTCGCTTCTATTGGCAGTATTGAAGAACAAACGGTAAAAATGGATCTCGAGCGTCCAAAGCTTGAGGTCGGTTAATATACCCAACGCCTTTACAGTGCTCAAGAGGCTTCATTTTTTTGGTGTGTGAATGTGAGCTCGATATATGTCGAATCTGCTCTTGTCTGGTGGCGTTGCTACAGTTCCCCACAGATAAAACGCCACCCTGAAAACCGTGGCTGTAGAGTCAGTCGCAGCCAACGCTCGCGCGCACTCAGCGTGCCTAGTGACAGCGTCATTGAGAACGCCCTTCAGTTCGAGTGCTGGGCTTTCCCGATATGCCGCCAGGTTGGGGATGGCAAATAAATGCAAAACGACCATTTTAGCCTCGCAGCTCTCTAATTCGGGA